TTTTGCTAAGTTTTCAGGCCATCATACCTCGATGATACTGATTTTTGCAGATGCACACCAGTTACTTTGACAGTCTATGATGCCCTATATGCAAGTAATAATACGTTGCAAAGCCATTATTGTTTTACGGGTAGATTTTCGGACTGTTTGAAGATACACCTGGATACGTTCGTCACACTTCATAAGCCATACAGTTTCATCTGGAACGATCTTTTCAAGTGTCGAGAATGAATGTGTTGCTGCTCGATATGTCACTTCCTGTTCATAACAACGTTTTCTATTAATCCTCTACCTATCATTTTATCATGTGATACCTGTCAGTCTCGGTTGTGATGCTTTACCTTGTACTGATCCATTATCTATCTGTGACCATTGCAAATCCTATACCTTTTATGGAGTTATAAATACAGTTGAATTTGAACATACAATGTGAAAGCTCCTTGACGCTTTTCTTAGTACTATTAGTCTGGATTCTTGAGAACAAATCTTATCTTAATTTCGTGAAATTGAGCCACACTGTTTGCAGCCTCGCCATTCTACGGCAATTTCACTGCGGAATTTTGAATGTTACATAAGCCTCAACGAAATTCATGTCAACTAGTTTATTCAGGATTCTCGGATCTCCAACTGTGGCTGGGTAAGAACGCAAAATTGTTCTCATTACATCACACTGCGCAGTCAAGAACAACGATAATAAATGTTACAGAGCAAATGCGGGCGATTAAGCCTAGAAACTTACCATCGAATTCATCTGTATTTTAAAAAAAAGTACTGTATTGGTTTGGATTGAATTAACACTTTGGTATGGCATAATTTGTAATTGCTGCAAAAAAATGCAACATATTAGTTTCGGTCTTCAGAAACAACACAATCATCTCATTCAGGCAGATTATTAAAAATGAAAAACAATGGAAAGCCTGAATGATAAAAGAAAGTTTGGGCTCTGCATGTACTAACGTTTCAATGGGTTCTTCTGAATGACGAAGAGGAATCTATTAATGCATGACCCAAAACTAATGTATGAATGGCTGGAATGGTTTCTAAAGAATTTACGTCCTCTGCTCAAGGCATTCTCTCTTTGTGCGTGTTCACATTCCAGTATTGAGACTTTTTTAAAGGTGAATACAGTGACTAAAAGAATATATCTGTAGATGTTCCAAAGAATTTTCAACTGTGAACATTGATCGAATGAGCACAAAACAATGACCCTAATGTGAAATACTTTGAAAATCAAGTACATTTGAGGTAAAATTGCTAGATGAATGGTAGAAAGAGCTGAATGTGTTACGTTCAGACGATACATTGGCGTAGTGGTGTTGAACCACAAACAATTTCTGAATGTCATAACATTTTAAAGTATGCATATTTCATAACGACATTTCACAATAACATCTTCAGATCATCGTTAACGATTCATAATGGAGATCAATTGAAATTAGCGTTTGTTAGCAAAGCTGTGTAAATGTCAAATCGCATGAAAATTTCTTGAATTGTTCAACGTTAAACGGCCTACTGGAAGCAGTTGGAGTGCTGAAATCAGCCAGAGCTCGCACTGATGTGTATCGTTTGAATTTGAAATCATCGTAAGATGCTCGGACGTTTCCTATAAATGTTGCCCAAATTACACTGAAGCAGCTCATTTGATTCAATGATCTTTCCTTGATGTTTCCAAAATACAGTTGCAGCCCACTCCAATCGTAATAGAGCATGCGTTCTTTGTGTAGCCAAACTATCATTAGTAATGACTCATTAGCATCGCGTTGATATGCGAATAATTTCAGCCCCTCGTTATGATATGGTTGAAGCTATGATGCAACAGGTAACAAACCGTGATATCGATAGCCTGGATGGGATAAAGCCAGCTTTCAACCGCATCACTTGATTACTCAAACAATTTTTGAGCAAAAATTTGCAGTTTTCGTCGCCGCCAAAAAAAAGCTTCTTATTAGCAAGTCGTTACCGATCGCTAAACCATAATAATCCACTTTGTACGATAATATCTAGATGTTATCGTGTGAAACTGCATCTAAATGTTGCGAGAGGTTTTAGTCGTCTGAAGTTTTTGTTCGATGATTGTGTTTTTTTTGGATTGTTCCACTTGAGACTCACGCAATTCAACTAAATTCAGCGTGACATATTCTTGCTGCTAACATAAGTATTCGCCTCAGTGCACTCATCAGTGTTGTCGTCATTTTGACTTTTTTCGCGTTTTTAGCTCATCTCAAAGATACGTCATAAACACGCGATTGTAGGCGTTCGTCAATGCATGCATGCATTAAGGAAGCCTTGTCATATAAAAAAAAAA